AGTTGGCAGTGTATTATTGTATAAAAGGGTCTACCTCTTTATGTGTGGTGCGAAAATTACTACAATATTTTTAATGAAAATATAATTTTAACTTTTTTATTAGTCATTAGATTATTCAATTTAATGGCCACGGTTCATTCTCATTTCCCTATAAAATATTGAACCTAAAAATTCTCTACAATTGCTTAAATAATAAATTAATAATATAATGGTAGTTCTTATCATGTACAGTGCCGAGTGCACATGAATGAATGTCTTTCTTTTGAAGTTGCAAAAGTCATCTTGGATTCTTGATAGTTGATACCCATCAAATGTCTAAAAATTCACCTATAAAAACAAGTACCTACGATAGGAAAGTATATAAAGGGGTGAGCATGGGTCGGTACGGTTCGAAGATTGATATATATCCGAAACAGTACCGAAGTTCGGAGATTACTAAAATTCATTTTCCGGAACTATATCAAAAAATCGGTTCAGTTCAGTTCACATATTTTCATTTTTCGATTCGATTCGGTTATCGGGACTATCGAACGGTTCAATTCGGTTAGGATATTCAGAGATTTCTTATTATTTTTAATTTTTTTTTCAATGACCACTTAGTTATATTTTAATTTTTATATATATTTTTTTTAAAATCCACCATTCACCAATATTTTATCATATTAAAGATTTTATTTTTAAATCAACTAAAAAAATAGCTCTAAAATTTAGTTAAAACTAAATTTGTGAAACTGACATTAAAAATTCAAACAAAATATAATATAGTTTTTTTATTAAAGTAATATTTCTTTAACCTTCTATACCTTGTTAGTTATAGAATAGAATAAGACTAGTAACGACAAATTTAAGCAATGTTTAAATATTTTTTTAAAAAATATTTCTTTAACCTTTCATACTATTAAAAATATATTTTTCTTAAACCATAAAAATTTAATTTGTAGATCTCAAATATTACTAAGCATGAAATTTGAATGAAGCTTAATTGTTATATCTATATTTTATTTCCATATTAGAAAATTTCAAATTATATAGCATCAAAGTTGACACAAAATATATTAATATCACACATCCATTTTTATAATTCGGTTCTTAATTTCGATTGTTCGGTTTGGTACGGCATAGGACAGTTCAGTTCGGTTCTAAGTACGGATATTTGTGAATCTCCCGAACAGTACCAAATATTTTTTCGGTTCTGTTGGTTTGGCGAAAGTCAAACGGTCAATGATTATTTTTTGGTTCGGGTGATTTCGGTTCGATTTTTGGATTAGTTCAGAATTCTTCGAGTCTCATGTTCAGCCCTTGGTATATATGTAATAATATACTTACTAGTACAATATCCGTGTACTACACGAGTAATTGTTAAAAGATTTATTATTAAAAATTAAATAATAACAATAATAATTATTTAAAATTAAATATATGTACTTATCAGGCTAATTTAAGGTTTTCATAGAAATTAATGAGCCGATTGAGAGCTTCCAAAATAAATCAAGGTTATATTAGTCAATCAATATAATTACCAAAAGTTTCCATACAACATAAGGGTTATTAGTCAAACTATTATAGATTAACAAGTTAGTTTTTCAATATTTAGGGAATATCAGAACCTGTAATTATTATCTAAAATAATATTAACTTTTATCCAAACCAAACTAGGAAGCATGTTTTTTCGCAACATAGGATTCTGAGGCGTGTCAGACTGCTACTTAGATTCAGCGTATTCTGCAATTATATATAATTATATATAGAGGGGATATATATGGACACTTGTAATATTTTTTGTTGAGAGAAGATGACAATATGACACACGAATTAAAAAAAAACGAGAAAAGTAAACAACACAAGATTTACGTGGTTCGGCTGATGGATCTTTTATTATTCTTAATCGTATCAAATACATCAATACACCATGTATTTATACTAAAACCCTACAAGGTATAAATTTACTTAAATACCCTGTACCGTACCCTCTTCTTTTGTCAATATATGAGTCATACCAACACATATTATATATTTTTTCATATTTTATTATATATAAAAACACCTACTTGAGTGGCTCCACCATATATGCCTACCCTCCCACAAATTTCTACCGAGGAAGGCCACATTCTTCTCTATTCCTTTGTTTACTTTGTCTAATCCTATATTTTATAGACACATGATTACGCCATCTATAAAACTAAATATAATTTAACATGTTAATTAGAATTGTCAAAGTTTGGCGTGGCTCAAAACTGCCTTTTTATTCTCTTTTATACCTACTTTAAAACTAGGCGTTTGAGTTTTTAGTACCATTGACTATATGTGACAAGCGTGGGGTTTTTTTTTTTTTTTTTTTTTTGTTTTAATTAATTCAAGTATGTAGTTAATGGCAATGAAGTTGGACAAATTAACAAGTAATTTCATAACATATACAGATCAAAAGGAACCAAAATCCACATCTTCATATAGATATATATAGTTGCTGAAATGGATTTACAATGAGTGCGAGAGAAGAAACACAAACTTAATTTTGGCAGCACGATTTCGATCATCTTTGCGGGTCACCGTGAAACGGGTTTTCGGGCTGAGAGTCGCAAAAATTGGAGACGAAGAGAGCCATCAAAACGAAGAGGGGCGAGAGGAATAGGATTAGGCCGAAAGGCACCATCCATTGCTCGTCATTGGTCGAGTGGTAGTTGAGTAGCCACCAGGCCAGCATTAGCCCTCCTAACAAGCTCAACGCGAACAATACGAACCAACAGCCCGCGCCGCACCTCTTAAATACCGATCGCGTGTAGCTCAAGAATACCTCCTTTACATTGTCTTCATGTGTTTGTGCCATCAAAAGTTGAAGTTTTGCATCAGCTAACCTTGTGCTTGCTATATGAATGTATGGGGAGTTTTTAGTTTTATTTGGTGGGGACAAGTCAAGAGAAAGAAAGAAAGGAATTTATATATATATTTGGTCTCTTGGAAAAAGCTTGAGTAGATGGCAGTGGACTAGGTACTGCCTAGGCTAGCTCACATAATGTGGACTAATTAAGTATATATGGCATATATGTATGTAGTATATTATATATTATGTGAATGGATTAGGGTTCTACTTTGTTACCAACCACGAAATTTTCTGGAATCTGGATTGATTTTGTCATTGGTATAACATTAATCCCCCTAATGATTTTCAATCAGAATTTTTTTTTTTCATTTTAGTTTGGGATTTTCTGTAGGTAAAATTAAGGAAGATTCTCCCTATGAGAACCCTATTCTCCTTGTGGGAACCTATTATCTCAATTGAGATCCCCATTGATCACCATCAAACAGATACAAATCCCTAATTAATTGTTATTTCCTTTATCTCCTTTCAATTTCGCACCCTCTCATGGCTTCAAATAGTGAAAACGGTGCAGGGCAAATTGGTGAAGAAGACCTAGAATCGAAGCTAAGGAAATTCTCCTTATCGGAAGCAGAAACTCAATTGTGGATCTAGCTCAAGATGATATCAAACTAAGCAAGGATGAATGCGAACGCAGCTTATTCGGTAAGATTGTTGGAGATCGAAAAGCCAGTTTATTTGGTCTCAAGAGAACTATGAGTCATATATAGAAGATTCAAAACTCGGTAGAAATCGTGGAGTTGAGCACCAACGTTTTCCAATTCATATTCGAAAAATAGAGAAGATCTCAAGAAGGTTGCTTCTGGATCCAACTGGATCTACGACAACCAGTATCTCATTCTGCAGGAATGGCAGGACAACATCAGCAGTTCCCACCCAAGTTTTGACATCCTGCATCTCTGGGTCCATGTTTACAACATTCCATTCCACTGGCAATCTGCAGAGGTAGGGCTTATGATTGGTAAGATTTTTAAGAAGGTGAAAAATGTTACTTTATCCACTGCTGGCGATACGGGGGTAGGTAGAGTCATCATAATCTTAGTTGCCTTCAATATCAAAGAACCTCTGCTGAGATGTGCTAATGTCAGATTGGGTAGTCAAGTGATCAAAGTCAATTTCAAGTATGAGAAGTTAGTAAATCTTTGTTACTATTGTGGCACACTGGGCATTTGGATAGGGATTGCAAGAAGAGGCTTGATGATATCTCTCAAAACTCACTTCATGATGGGCAATATGGAGAATGGCTGAAAGTTGGGGATAATCCACAAATCTATTCATTTCAACAATACAACCCATTAGGATCAAGAGGCTCAAAAAGCACATGACCTCTACCTAGACCAGTCACCCCTCCCTCAGATCAAACTTATGATCAAAATCGCAAGGAGACCAGTGCATCTGATAATCTGATCAACTCAAACAGCGTGGAAGTCATTGTGCATTCACACCCTGATCACCTTAGGGTGGCAGAACCAATCCCGATAGCTAATCAACAGATAACACCACACACAACATTGAGTAGCAACACACAGATTAAAGAAACTGGAGCCACTGTCACAAATGTCTTATACTCCACAAGCACTTGCAAAATCTCCCCATCAACATGGAAACAGAAGACAATGCTGACATGTCAGAACAAAAAAGCCAAACACTGGCAACCAAGAAGTGGAAAAGGGCTACTCAGCAAAAGGGAAGGCTTCAAAAATCCCTCACCATCAAAGAACCTGCATCAAACAACAAATCTCTTAAAAGAGAAAGACCAGTACCTACAGAATGTCCTCAAGCCTCTTCCTCAGGAGGTAAGAAATTAAAATCACCTCTTGATATGGGTTTGTTGGCCACCCACAAAGAGCCAACAAGTGATCAATGAAAGTGCTGGTGTGAAATTGTAGAGGTTTGGGTGGACCCTCTACAATTCCCCAGCTCAAGGAGTCCATGAGGACTCATTGCCCTCATTTTACTTTCCTCTCAGAAACAAAAAAAAAATAAATAAATAAAATAAATCAGGTTTTGTAAATACTGTCTGTAAAAGTTGAAGGTAGAAGATAGATGGAAAGCTGTTAACCCAATTGGGACTGCAGGAGGCTTGCTTTTGCTATGGAGTAAGGATGTTTTGATATCTCAAATTATTTGCCATAATTTTTTCTTGGAAGTAGAATACTATGTTCCCCATTCTGCTATATCATATTGGCTCATCTTTGTTTATTTGAGAACTTCCAGAAACATCAAATAACATCAATGGGGGCTCTTTAAGGATATGAAGCATAAATGGGGAACTCATGAGTATATGCAGGTGACTGGAATGACCTTTGCAGTCCTGATGAAAAGAGAGGTGGCCAACAAAGAACTCTCCAAAGCTGCATGGGATTTAACTCATTCATTTCTGACTTGGGCATGGTTGAACTCAAATGGTTGGATATGAATACACCTGGGCTAACAACAGAGAGCATGAAGGTTTTGTTGAAGAAAAACTCGACAGAGCTTTTTGTTCAATAGAGGGGCTTGCTGAACATTCTAACTCTACTATGGAAAACATCCTTAGAAGCTCATCTGACCACATCATGCTACTTATTAACACAAATGCCACAAAAAGCCAAAAAGAAGATTCAACTTTGACAAGAGGTGGATCTCCAAAGAAGGAGTCAATGATGTGACTAAAAATGCATGGAGCCAACCTTCTGAAGGCACACCCATGTTCAGAGTGAAGGAAAAGATCAAAGCAACTAGGATGGCACTACTTTACTGGAGTAGAAATCACCACTCTGAGAATCAAAAGAAAATCCAGTCACTAACAGCTGCACTAGAAGATTTGAGAAATGCTGGTAGGGAAAGAGATTAGAACTCCTGGAACTCTATCAGAAATCAGTTGGATGCAGCTTACTATCAGAAAACAGCCTACTGGAAGCAGAAATTTAGAATGATGTGGCTGAAAGCTAGGGACAAAAACTCCAAATTCTTTCATGCATTCACAGCTCAGAGAAGAAAACTGAATGCCATCACTAGGCTATTTGATGAAAATGGCCACCTGCTTGAAGACCATCTAAGCATTCAGAATTGCATATGAAGATTTTATGACAATCTATACTCATTAGAAGGGCCATCATGTAATTTGGAAATTCTCTAAAAAATCCCCCAGACCATCACTGACCAGCAAAACAAGGAGTTGATAGCTGATGTTGATGACAAGGAGATAACTGAAGCTCTTTTCAGCCTACATCCAGAAAAATCCCCCGGAGAGAATGGAATGACAAGTATATTCTTTCAGAACTTCTGGCCCATTCTAAAAGAAGATGTATGTGAAGCAATAAAAGCTACTTCCAATCAGGCAGGATGCTTAGATATTGGAATCACACCATCATCTCACTCATTCCCAAATGTCTGTATCCAGATTCTCTAAGCAATTTTCGGCTAATAAGCCTCTGTGGTGTTCTTTATAGAAAAATCTAAAAAATCCTCACTAACAGATTAAAGCCATGTTTATCAAACTGCATAAGTGAATATCAATAAGCATTTATACCTGACAGATCTCTTCTGGACAATGTGATGATAGCATAGGAGGTGTTTCACTTCCTCAACAGACACATATCAGGTAATAATCACTTTATGACTGTCAAATTAGATTTAGTCAAAGCCTTTGATAGACTTGAATGAGACGGTGTGAGACTTGTAATGTCCAGAATGGGGTTTCATTTAAAATTTATAAACTGGGTCATGGGCTGCATCACATCACCCACTTACTCATTCAAGTTAAATGGCAATGTCTCTGGATTGGTTAAACCTACCAGAGGTATTAGGCAGGGGGACCCCATTTGCCCCTACCTATTTATCATGGTGGTAGAAATTCTTTCCACACTTATATTGAAAGAAACTGGCTTTTGAGGAATAAAAGGGCTGAGAATCTCCAGAAATGGCCCAACCTTGTCTCACTTATTATTTGCAAATGACAACCTTGTTTTTTGTAAAGCAGATAGCAATCAAGAATTTCAGTTGATGGACATTCTTGCAAAGTACCAGTCTTTTTCAGGGCAAAAGGTGAACTGGACAAAGTCAACAATCTTCTTCGGCAAAAACTCACCAAAAGCACTGAAAAGAAATATCTGCCACATCCTCAACAACATTACAGAATACACATCCACCAGATATCTGAGATTGCCACTGGGAATTAGTAAATCAAAAGTCCAACCATTTGCATTTGTCATTGATGCAGTCAGAGGAAGGATAAGCAACTGGAAAAATAAACTCCTCTCCACTGCAGGTAAGGAGGTACTCATCAAAAATGTTCTAAATGCCTTGCCTATTTTTATCATGGGATGCTTTAATTGCCAATATATGTCTGCAAGGAAATTGCTGGGCTTAGTGCTCATTTTTGGTGGAGTAAAGGGGGAAATCAAACTAAAGGTATTCATTGGGTCAGCAGGATTAAAATAGCTTTGCCTAAGAAGTTAGAAGGCTTAGGCTTCCAAGACATACAACTTTTCAATGAGGCCATGATCATGAAAAAATTATGGAAGCTAACTACTAAAGCTGACCTCCTAGTTTGCAGGATGCTCAAAGACAAGTACTTTCTCAATACAAATTTTTGTGATGCTACAAAGAAAAATGGAGGATCTTGGCTCTGGAACTCATGGATGGAAGTGAAACCAAAGTTTGACCAGCTGATACAAGTACAACCACTCAGTGACAGAAACACATCAATCCTAGGTTATCCATGGATTCAGTCCCTTGGCCTTCAAAGAATCAGATTTAAAGAAGGGATTCAGACAAATTGCACCCTGGTGAAAGACCTTTTGCTCAATGATGGTGTTACTTGAAACACTGTTTGTTATGTTTTTGTGCTTATTTTTATGTATTTATTTGTGTTATCGAGTCGATTTTAGGTTCGTTTTAGTGTCGACCGGTCCATTTTATCGTTTTCCGTGTGTTTTATGTCTTTTCTTTTATTTTATATTTTG